AAATTATAACCACTGTTTCAACATTGCAAATAATCAGAAATGTTTCTTGAGTTTAAAATATCATAAATGATTTCTGAAGGATAATGATGCTAAAAATTCAGCTTTGCATCACAGGAATAAATTACATTTGAAAATATATTCAAATAGAAAACAGTTATTTTAAATTGCAATAACATTTAACAACATTACTATTGTTTACTGTATTTTTGAATAAATGTTTAACATAAGAGACTTTACACATTTTTTATTTATTTTTTATAAATCTTACCAAACTCAAACTTTTGAACGGTAGCGTTTCAGAAAGTTCTACGAACGTTCTGTTTTGTATCTTTCTGGCCTAAATTGCCATCTTATTGGCTGCTCAGGGCAGGACCTGGGACTCACGCTATTAACGCTCAAGTAGGTCAAGTCAAGGGCTTCCGTGAAAGCACAATACATGGGGAAGCCATCCTGACATGGGAAAAACAAGCAGAGCAAATTCGCACACGTTGTTCAAAAGGAAAGTTTTACTTTTGGAACATGGAAATAAATGACATTATAGATGCCAACAAACAAACACCTTATTTGCCTTCAGGCTGGCTTGAATTACGTCTGTATGACATATTAATGTGTTTTTGACTCAGCTCAATTAAACAGTTTAATCTATCTAATAGATTAAAGCTTTAATCTATCTATCTAATAGATTAAAGCAATGAAAATAAACATTGTATGCACATCTCCTGTACCGACATGATTTATGTGGGCAAACAAACACCCAATCATATAGCATGCTACATAATATGCTTTTCTTCTTTTTTTGCAGTCACGCATAAGTCCTTTCAGACAGTCAGACAAAACAAATCTGTCTGCTGAGAAATGAGCATGGTATATACATAAAAGTTGAAGCACATTTCTTATCCTACAAAAGGGAACTTAAGCTGAACAAACTTATTCCATAAACAGTTATGGAAAACTGTAGATGGAAATTTTGCTGTTTTTGCAGAGTCATCTGAGATGGATGTGTTCGGAAATTCCAGATAGCAACAACTGCCCCGTTTACACCTGCGTTTTGGACTATCTGATCACAATCAGACGAGGAAAACACAAACCCGTTTACACCTGGTATTTTAATCCATGTCTTTTGTCCACCTTCAACCACTTCTGTCGTAATTTTTTCGAGGGGAAGGTCTATGGGCGGGGAAATGTATGGACTTTTTCAGATCTTCCAATTTAATGGACGAAATAAGCTAAGGCAATTTGCACATGTACATGACCGGAGAAAACAGAAAAACATACGGAGAGCAGTAGCTTTCGTTTCTGCTCTGAAAGCAGGAATGGTGAGATAACATCGTGCTTGGTACATTTTTCGTTTTCAAACCAAACTTGGGTCTTCAGTCAACAAAGTTCAAATCCCGTCTTGCTAGCACGCTTCCCGTAATGTATTAAGTCAGTATAGGCGGGTCTTTTGTTGCTGTTCGAACACATTCGGCCACATGAGTCAATTTACACCTGTATTTAGCGTCGCCACTTGTAATCCGATAAAAAAATAAAAAAAAACGCTTCTTAGGTGTCAACAGGGCCAGTGAGACTCCATTTGTATAGCGTTGTCATTGTATTGACTTTAATCATTTATCATACTCAGAATATTCTGCTCTCAATCTATGAGAGTCGCTAATCAAACTTCCGAAAAAAAAAAGAAATTCTCCATATTTTGACAGACAGACAGTGAACAGAGAAAAACAAGACACAACATCTCTGTATGTCCACCTCCCTCCCATCCAACAGAGATTGGGACATTTTCACACCATCCACGCTGCTCGAGTCACAAGGTTGTATCTTGGGGCGCATCCGCAGAGACTTGTTCTTAGTGACCGTCCGCAGAGCAACAGCCATGAGTTTGCCACCTATCTACTCACCCAGTCTGTTTAAGAAGAGGGACAGGCGGTAAGTGTAAGAATGAGTGTATCATTACAACTGACAGCTGATGGATTCATTGTTTAGGCGTGAATGTGAGCGAGGAAAGTTAGTCTGGTCTAACCATTTAAACTGGCGAATACTGCAGGTCTTGCTCTGCAAGGTGTGAAAACCGTTACGTTACAGACAGTCAGTGAAGTGCATTACCGGGTTCATCGCTTGTGGATCATGTTACAAAGTACTTAGACGTATTGCATAACTTGTTTTTTCAATTCGTAGGATACTAAATCAAGAGTTTAGACTGATGATGTGATTTACATATTTTATTCTTCACTATGGTGAGGGTCTCTCTCTAGCTGTCCTCCTAAAGAAACTAGATTACAATTTTTGACCTAATAAGCAGCAACTATTCACAGAATGCAAACTTGACAGACTGAAAATATGCCATTCCACACATTCTTTCGTAGGGATTATTGGTGTGTTCTTACGTACGCAGATGCTTACTAAGTTAACCAAGTACGGTTAGGTGTGTCTTGAGAACTCTAATCCTTTTTTTGTAGGTTTTTATTAAATTAAGTCCTGTTGCAAATGTAAATAATTAGTGCCACTCAGTGTAACTGTATTGGACATAATATATACACACTGGGACCAGTCTTAAAGTTTCCAACCTTGTTTTAATTGTGTAGTAGCAGTGTGAAGGATTTGTTTATCGGAGAGTGTCTGGGACGTCTCCACCCTGGCCATGGTGACAGACGGAGACATACTGTACCATGGCACATCTGTGTTTACTGTGATGTGCGAGGTTTTTTTTTTTAGAGTGGCAACTGAATGAAGCATCTGTTTGCTCATCTCGCTGCATCAAAACAATGTGAAAGTTGACATTTATTCAATACTGAACAATTTTTTAGCAAATGTGTTTCTTAGTCCCGGTTTCCTTGGAATGTAATGTAGCTTTCTCTTTGCTAGAAAGTCTGATTGTCCTGGTTTTGTCACGTCACTAAAATGACGACAATTAACACACTATCAGCACTTAATAACAGGGAGGTTCTGTGACACTTGATTGCCTGCAGATTCTCAGGCATAACTCTTCAAAAGAAGCCACTTCATGGTCTTTCCCTCTTCGTCTAAGGGGATGATTATCATTTCATACAGTACAGACTGTACATGCACTTGCCAATTATCCTGACTACAGCTCACCAGGAGTTCGGTTAACTCTTTCTGGAGCGTTCCTCTGAAATCTAATCTGTCAGCTTTACTCTGCATGAATGGAAAGTGACAGCACTACGGTGACTAATTTGTGCTTTTCTGTAAAGTCTCATTAGGAGGATCAACTTCGAGCCGTCCCCTTTTAAAGGGCTACACTAGGATCCAAACATCCAAACAAACAAAACAAAACAAACTAGGATCCAAACATCCAAACAAATTCTTGCTCCGCTCAGAAAAGACAGATGATAGATTGTAAAATGCAGTGAAAGAGTCGATAATGTCCGTAAAAAAAAAAAAACTGTTTTGTGACATACTGTAATAAATTCATTTTCATAACTTTGCATTGCAATGTTGCTAGCATGACCCATCAAATGATTTCCCCCCAAAATTCGATTCACAAAAAAGATATTACGTGAATAATAACAGTGTCTGTTTGTAAGCTGTGCATGTTAGTTGGACAAAATTGAAGTTTGATTTTGTTATAGTTTATATTATTATATAGTTATATTTACAATTTGAGTCTACACCAGGTAGGTATTTTTAGAAGGATTAAAACATTTATTTTGGTTACTTATATTTTTGTTTATTTTTTGGTGTGGTTTCTTTTTTTATAACTGCAACGTAAAATGCGTTCAAATGTAGGCCTACTTGCTGAGGACTTTACTGTTGCATTCTTTTATTATGGACTCATTAGCTTTAATGTTAAAAAGAAAACTGATGGACAGCGAAAAAATGTGTTTCTAAATGTGCAAATATTAGCTTACTGATATCAAAGTGTCAATGACTTTGATTCCAAGTTTGATTGAGCATGTGTTTATGACTGTTATCCACAGTTTGGCCACTAGAGGCACTAAAGGCTGAAGTCAGACAATATGGGGGAAAAAAGTGTTGTGAGAAAGTTCTATTGATTAATCTATCTTTCTCATCCAGTTCTCATTATCTCTGAGCAGTCAACTGCAAAACTGTAAACTTATGAAGACCTGGAGGCATCGATTGAAAGACCAATTCTGTTAATTTACTATTAATAAAACTGCTCAATTAGGCTACTGATTTTCACCATGTAACAAATTACTGAGCTTTATTGGAACGCGTGGTTCGTTAAAGTGACAACTTCACATTGATAAGACAAGTGCATTCACCTATTTTGTCATAGGGCAGCTATATATTTCACGAGGCATGTCATAACGACGTATAAAAAAAAATCGTATCAATTATCAAAAAAGGGCGCTTGTTAATGGCGTGTCTTGTTTGTGTTGACGTGTTGTGGAGGTTTGTCCCGCGGTTTGCTGCTGCTGCATGCTGTGTGTTCTTTGAGCGAGTTCAGTGAGAGGGCAAAACGAAAATCTATGCCACAAGCCTCATTTGAATAATACATGCGGGCGTCATGTGACGTCACTGAGCGGAGTATAAAAGCCCGCTGCAGCAGAAATAGCATCACTTGCCGACAGTGTTTCTCTGAAACCGCTCCTAGTTCACTCATAGCGCCCGCTTTTAACTGCGCGTATTGCAACAGAGCAACGCAACACAAACAACCAGGATCTTAAAATCGTGTTCAAACAAGTCGCAAACGTGGCGAGAAGTATTATTCAGACGGGTCTTGTACTCAACATGAGCACGGAGATGTTTAAAACGCCAATGGAGCTCGCAGTCTATCAGCTGCACAATTTCTCCATCTCCTTCTTCTCATCCTTCCTCGGAGGGGATGTAGTGTCGGTCAAACTAGACAACAGGTAGGCCGATTTCACGAGATTATTAGATGCTTTTGACAGTCGACAGGAATTACAGTCGGACATAAATCTTAGTTTGTTTTTTTGCGGCATCGACACAGATGTCACGCACTAAGAGCTGTGTGTGCAGTGTCTGAACTGCGTTTTAATACTTTGTGTCTTTGTCTTTTGCAGTGCCTCTGGCGCAAGCGTTGTGGCAATTGACAACAAGATCGAACAAGCGATGGTAAGATCTATTCTTTTAACACTATGATCATATGTGTGTAGAACTGCAGTGGAAAGTATCTAGTTTCTGTGTAGGCTGTAACCAGAGCTGTGGCACGCTCTAGAGCTGCTGCATATACATTCATTGCATATGCTTTGTTTGCCCACCTGCAGTAAAAGTCAAAGGTTGCTGTACAACACCACATGCACCCTTTTATATTATTGTTTAAACCATTTAATCCCCCCAGTAACATCTACCAAAAGTCTAAAATGTACTATTTACTAATATATTTATTTATTAAACATTACTATTAATTATTAATGAAAAAAAGCAGATCATAACTACCATATTTGGCACACATAATCTGAAAAGTCTTTTATTAATGTATTAAGATTGCTCATTATAGTATATACAAAGGCCAATGCTCACAATATATGTAAACATTTATGTTAACCCAGAGCCACATTTGAATAATTAACTTGATTGTAGATTAAGCATAATAAATAATTCTTAGATAACTATTCTTAAATTCCCAAAATCACAATTACCTGATAGTAAAAGTTTGTTTTAACCCATTTAATCCTCCTAGTAATATATGCAACCAATTTTTTTTTGTTCTTTAAAGGGTATTAAACTCTTATTAGAACTATTTAACTATACAAACAAATGCATATCTTAACTACCATGTCTGGTACAAATAATCTTTAAATGATCTGGTTTTAATGTATAACAATTACTCTGTCTTACAGTATATAAATCATGCTCACAATAGTTGTGAACATTTGAATTGCAATAACTTGATTCACATAAAAAAAGAAATTAAATACAAATAGGAAACATGCATTTATTCTTAGGGTACATTTACACTATGTACTAAAAAAACGGAAAAGTTTTAATTAGCGTTTTTCACGTACAGACGACAACATTGTCAAAACAATCCCCGTTCACACTGATCGGCTAAAAAGACTAAAAATGCTGTATTATTCATACTAGGCCAGTAGTTGGCGATGTGACTATAAAGAAATGCTACGCTCCTATAGACTATAAACATGTAATATGCATGTGCATGGCGTCACCGTTTTCACAAATTCGTGTTTTTTTAACTTTACAGACAATAGCGATTTAGTTTTCAAACACTTGCACTTTGAATCTTTGTTTTTTTTAAGTTTGTGTTTTCAGGCCCCCAAAACGCTGTTGTCGTGTTAATGAATGGCCAAAACGCATACAAAGTTTTTAATTAAAAACGATATTGTGTAAACAGCCCCTTGGATTCTCTTTCCCTCACAAAGATAGAACATAATGTACAGTTGTTGTCATTACAAATTCAGGAACCCTGAATAAATGACAGATTATTTCATTGGGCTATTCAAAGTTCTCAGCCTCATTCTTCTGAGTTCATACATTAATTCCACATGCAAACGGATCAGTTGCAATGTATTTAATAGTCTGAGTATGTTTTGGTGTGATCATGGAAACTCAATTCTCTGTATTTCTCTTGTAGGATCTTGTAAAGAATCACTTAATGTATGCAGTCAGAGAAGAAGTGGAGATCTTGAAGGAGCAGATCAAGGAGCTGGCAGAGAAAAACAACCAGTTGGAGCGTGAGAACAGCCTGCTGAAGAACCTGGCGAGCCCAGAGCAGCTGGAGAAGTTTCAGTCCCGTCTGCCCTCAGACTCCAGCCTCCCCCTGGAGCCTCTGGAGCTGGGCTCCCCCGAGAACGGCGAGCACCAGTACATCAGCACGGGGTCTGCTGTATAAGTGGCTCTGCCATGGGGCGGGCAGAGCCACAGCTCTCACCTGAAATGGACCTCCAGATATGCAACTTCAAGATGAAGCTGGCTGTACAGATGAAACCTGACCTGAAATGAAAGCATTACGACGTACCAGTGGCCAAGTTCTGTATTATCCGACAATCTCTTCGGACTAACATGGAAAAGAGAGAGTGATGTAGACGTCTGAGGTTACTGTACAACGGGACTGACGTGCCCCTTGCTTGGAAGGGGGCCCAGCCTTGCTTTCCTTTGGTCCCTCTCACGAAGAGACGGAGAGGGGTTTGCCTGATGGAGCTGGCCAAGAACGCATCTTCGGTCAAGCCAAGGAAATGTACGTCCCTACGAGATGCCCCCACAGTTTGACGAGAGCCCCACCTGACGCAAGCTGTACGGGACTCTTGTTCCTGCCCTCCGTGTCACTGATCCCTAGTGCTGTGGACATTCTTAGCTCCCGTAGTTCAGGACGCTTGAGACGGACCTGTACGGAGCACCGGTCCTCTCGTCCACAGCGGTGACTCCTGCCATATGATTTGTATAGCATCGCTTGTATCTCTGCAGATGGGGTCTGCTGCTTATGGGGATTATTGCTTGTTTGTGTTTTGAAACGGAACAAAATCAACTTGTTTATGTGGGCTGTGTGTAAAAATGATTTTTTTCTTTTTGTGGGAATGAAAATCTGTATACATTTGCTATAGTTCTGTAAATTAGCACCTGATGTAAAGCGAAATGTTCTGAAACGGACGGAGGTGAGGGGCGGATAATGTTGCTGCCAATGTATGCTGACATTTCGAACGTGTTCCGTTGACCTTCCATGCCAACCAACAGGCACGATGGTGTCTGGAGGCGGCCACATGGTTTTCAATGAACTTTGTGTTTTCTAACCACCAAAGACTTGCCTAATACTCACAAACCAACAGGACCATGTGTAACTTTTCACAGGAAGAAGTTTTTTGACAGCAGTCTTTCTGTAACATGGGTATTGTTGCTTTATTGTGTCCATGGTGTTTTTTACGATTTATGGATGCAAAATGCACATTGCAATAAACCTGATGTTTACACTAAATACTACCCTCAGATCTTTTGCTTTTTCTTCATGAAGGACAAGAACATTTTCTGTAGTTTTATATTTAGTGCATACAACCTCTTAATTACAATCAGATTCTTAGTGTCTATAAAAATTCCAACTTTAAATGTGATGTAAAATCAGAGCAATCTTCCTTGGCCTCAATATAAGATTGAGAGTCTTTTAAAGATGAGATGTTTGACACTACATAAGTAAAGTTCATGCATGGAAAATAAGACCTTCACAAAGCAATTTAAACCAATAATATCCTCTTAGCATGCATGGTAGTTTATGATAGACATTTGCTATTCAAGTATGCACTGACATCACTTGCTGCTCACATTTTACTACATGCAATGAAACTTCTTTATATGAATAATCAAATTCTTTCCAGTAATTACATATATATAAAGATAAATGTCATTGACCTCAGTGAGAGTGGCACCATGTGCATGATAATAAAATATGCTAAGTTTGGACTTTCCACTGGACTATCAAAAAAAAAACTACACATGGAAAAAAAAGAGGGTTTAATTGCAGATGTTTATGTACATAGACAGATCTAGAGCTAAGTGCACAATGGCCACTGTGCTGTAGTATTCCACAAGGCTTTGGGGCCAAGCATAGTGAGAAAACATGGCGTGTGGAACCCTCATCTTTCTCTCCTTAGGAAGGGCACGCTCAGTGTAACTCAATCCTCTCCCTTATGTAAGACCCACATCTCAGTATTCTACAGAAGTTCCTATGAGGTAGGCGGTAATAAAGTATATTCAAAAGACTATGCAGTTCCAGCGGGTCACATCCACTGGGTCCTATTGCAGATGGGTGGAGGTTTGAAAGGAAATCACTTCTGGAAATATCAGAATCCAAATGCACTCTGATCTGAGGTTTCCTTCATGTTTTATTGCCATTAATTAACATCAAGCTATATAGCAAACTAAAATCAACTTAATTGTACTGAACATTTATATGGTAAAAGGCTTACAGTTTAAAACTACAGCCAGCTTATTCCAAACAAAAATAGATAAACCATACAATAAAAATAAACGCATGAATAAATAATTTGTGAAGTTTGTGAATATGATGATTGGGTTACACTTTATTTTAGGGTGTCCTTGTCCTTATACAGTGTAATTATACATTTGCATACTGAGTAATATCAGTTAAGAACATGTACTTACTATAGGATAGGATTAGAAATAGGATTTGGTTTAGGGTTAGTTACTTGTAATTATTGCATAATTTACTGTTATTATTACAATGAGTACATGTAACAAGGAAAATTAGATTGGTTGTTTGTCATGTGTTTCAATGCATTATGCTTTATAAAGGTGTGTTCAATGAATAGATACGTATTATAATGTATTATAACTGTAGTTACAATTACCAGGCATAATAAATGCATTAAAATACGTTTATAATGCATTATATATAAATGCATTAAGTAAGTGTAACCAAGTTTTTGTTCATGGTATTTTTGGACTGGAGTAAACAACCATGGACAATGTTCAATGGTTCAATGTTCAGACTCAGAGTGGATTCACTGGTGATCTGGCATTTGTTCTGCTTCCCAAAACAGCTGCAAGACCTCTGCTGTTATGCAACTCCCAAACATCTGTTTCAGTTTGGTGTAGTGGGCGGTTTTCTATGTCAAGGCCTGGTGAAGTGTGGACGGGTTTGCATGCGAGCGAGTTACAGTGCACTGATACATTTACTTGTTTGTTCTGTATGTAAATATAGGCTCAGAGTAGGCTGTTTGTGCCATATTTCAGTGGAGTGACATTATTTTCTAAGCCTCAGATCTAATACCCTGTTGTGGAAAATTATTGAGTGTGATCCGCAGTGTAAACGGTGTTACCTCATTCTCACTTTATACAAACAGCCTCTCGCTCCCAGGTGCATCCTGTAGAGACAGAAGCAAATGAGAGATGTTTACTTCGGGAATTATTATTTTTTTTTAGATCCTTTAGAAGAAAGTTGACAGTATAAATAGACAAAGTCATTACAAGCCCAAAGTGTTTACTACTTGTATGCAACGCACTGACTGGTGTCCAGCTACCAAATTGAGTAATTAAAAATTGCTGCAAATTTTCCATTGAATTACATCAGAGAAACTGACGCCTGAGTCCAAATAAATACATGCAAGAGTTATATAACTTACTTATATTTACAATACATGGTAATTTTTCATGGTATAATTTAGAATTAGATTACATAATTGATATAGTTCATATTAGACTCATAAGATGATAAAAATGCATTTGAGGAAATTACAGTGGAATGCAATAATCTTTGTAAAAGGTTTCTAGAGTAGTGCTAGGCGTATGGTCAATCTACTTCAGACATGAAAGGCAAAGAAATACCGGTACATGACCCATTGTTCAACTTGGGTTGCATATAAGTCATAACCACAGATATGTACAAAATTTCCATTGTACAAACCACAATTTCAGATTTTCTGTGATGCGACAGCATGTTTTGCAAGGCTTACTGTATGTCTGTGTAGGCTCAAAGTCATGACCTTTTGTTGCAGACAGACTTAATGTATACAGTCAGACTAAAAGTATTGAATCTTTTCAAGTTCTCTAATATTGCTTTGGGTGTTTTATCTCAGTATCTACCCAAGCCAGTTTGACCCAAATCATTTTCATCCATAAAGTCTCTCATGATTTAATATTAACTGGTCATTCTTAAAATATAATCTTCTAAATGGTCTCTCTGTTTTGCAGAAGCAGTAAACCGTTTAGTAAAAGTTGGCGACTAATTCATTTAATTTGTCTCCAAGTATAATCTACGACAACGTCTTGTTTATTCCCATTAACATACACACAACTATCTCTTATGATAGAGCATTTTGTATTCATAAGACCAAATGTTATGTTTATTTGAGGTAAGCCACTATTGCTCTTGTTTTTACAGATTTCTAAGGGTGTGGGAATGTGATAAGCTTACCACACTCCACCTATAGAAAGAGGATTTGGAAACTAAGTTAGTTACTTTCACACGACATTAAAAGGATGTTGCCTCACAAACACATGGGTAGTAGTTCCACCCTAAACTCTTTACTAATCTCTGGGCTGGTGCAAGAGGCCAAATATACCAACAGAAGTTGGCCAATGACACTGAGTTGCAGGATCATGCAGAGCTTATGTTTGTTAGTCCCTCAACTTGATGAGTTTTAAATGAGGAGGGTATTAATAAATATATAAAGATCCTCCAACTGTATCTGGGTGGCTTTAATTAGGCTCTCCTCAAAAATAGACTCTTTGTAGGAGGGAGAAAGGAAAGTGCTCTTATTTAACAGTGCTGGAATTCTTCCTAGACGCATTCGATCTGAAAGGTCCATCTTTCCCCAGGGGTTTGGAAAACACTGTGAAACACTGTGTGTCTCTGTGTGAGAGGTGTGCTCCTCTGTGGTACCAGTCTCCCAAAGAATGTGCTTGGAACACCTTATTTTTACCAAGTGGGGCAGAACAAAGGCCACCAGCATGAGGTTGAGGATTTGAGAGGAAAGCCTCGAATTCAGAGTCCTACCACGGGGCAAGCACAGTTTGTTTTCTAGCACTGATGTGTCTCATGGGGGAAAATGATGTGCTCCTATTACATAACTTTTTCATGATGAACCCAAGTACCTCAAAATTGTTGGGTTTCTGGGAGTTGTTTTGCTAGATTTGATTAAAGATATTATGTACTATATTATGATATTATGGCTACGTTCAATCAACTCCTGCTAAGGGGTGGGTGATATCGAAATTTTGAACCCTGTTATTTATATGCACCGCTTAACTATGTCAGTGATACACATCACCAAATTGTAATAAGGCCCGTCACTACACCAAATTGTAAAAAAAAATAACAAAACCTCACGGGTTTCAAGTATAAACAATAGGGCCGGGACTTTAACGCGTTAATTAAGATTAATTAATTACACACTTTAACGCGTTAATTAATTACACAAAAAATTATTTTTAATCGCACTTATTTTTGCACCGCGGAACGTTTCTCACTGGATGAGTTTCGGCGGACCGATTATACTGGCGCACCAACTAGCGTTCATGACGAAGAAGCAAGGGGGTAATCCATCGACCGGAAGTTGAAGCTGGCCGGGTGCCGCCATGTTGTAGCAGAACTTCACTTGCGTTAGCATTTCCATTGACTCCCATTCATTTTGGCGTCACTTTGACAGCGAATAACTCTACATCTGAGGCGTTTAAAGACTCCATTTGTCCATTATTTATTTCTAAAGAAACACGACAACGTATAAAGGGCTCCATTACCTTCTATGTTACATTATGGCCCCGTAGAAACAGATTTAGTAAAAATAGGCTAACGATTGCGTCATAACCACTCGACTCTCTGTCGCGCTGTACAGAAATGACCGTACAGACAGGAGGAGAAGCTCGCAGGCAATCGGGGGGACGTCCCGTCAAGGGAGAAGCCCATAGATAATGAGTCCATAAAAGCAACGGAATACTTACTCCTGCTCACTCACGCCAAATAACTCTTTGCTCAAGTTCCCCGTCTCTGCAAGAT